AATGGTCACCTTCTTCCTGCCTCCCACGGAAGACTGAGTTAGTATGCCCAGGAAGCTTCTTGAGAGGGAACCAGTGAGAAGATCCAGACTAAGACCAACGTTGAAAAAGCCAACACCATGACATGGGGCCTCCGTTTGAGCCTGGCAACCATCAGTGCTTGATTCTGGCCCCTAGCTCTCAGGTCTACCTCCCAGCTCTGCTCCCACAATGTGGGCAGAAGTGAATTCATGCACTGTGAGCCATTTTACCTACTTGGCAGTCATCTTGTATTTTTTTTTTTTTTAGATTAAGACTGATTAAGAACATTTCATTTGTATCAATGTGGGCTCTGATAAATTGGGAAGAACAGGATGTCCCTGCTTGAGTGTCTTCCAGTTTCTAAGCAGAAAGGTCTGGATGACTGGGTTTTACAGCAGTTCCTGGATAGGGGAAGCTGACTAAAAGCGCCCTTGACCTGTGCCGTTGAGCATGTGTCCTTCATATTGACTGTGCGTCGGTGGTAGAATTACAGCCTTCTGCTTACTGTGCCAGTTTTCACGGGACCACAAGTGATATTTATTCTCCCGTGCTTCCAAGAATGGATCTCTCCCTGCTCTTTCATCTCTGAGCCTCTCAACCGTGCGTGTTCTCCTGAGTCAGGGAATAAAGCCTCTGTCATTTCACTAGGCGCATAAACAAAGACTGGTGGATTTAACAATGAATTAATAGCAAAGACAAATGGGGAGGACTTTTTAATCGACCATATTGGAAATTTTCAGATAATAGAAAGTGAAGTATTTCCATTCCATCTGGCATTACCATTCAAGGTCATGTTCCTCTTTGCTGTGTCCCTCGCCTCTCCTTCTTCCCCAGCAGGTTCAAAGACACCTGATCTCTTCCCTTCCCTCTTGGAAATCCTGTTCCTGTTTGTGTCAGATGGCCTCATCCTTGCTAGGAGAACATCACAGTCTAGCTGAATGCAGGAGGCAGCGGTGAGCTTGACAGAATCTGCCGTGTGAGACACAGTGCAACTCATCCAGCTCCTGCCTCCATGGCCTCCCCTTACAAAGAGAAAATGGGCCCAAGATTTCAAGTCTCAGCTTTTACCTGTGAGTGAAGACAACCCGCTATTTCAGAACGCTGTCATCGCTGTCTTCGGCACGAGACAGGAAAGACAAGCAGTCCATTAGCCGGGTTGGACTTGAGAAAACCAGTTCACGCACATGGGACCCGGAAAAGGGATAACGACATTCATGTGAATGGGAGGGTTGTTAGCGGAACAAGTTCTAAAATACATGCTGTGACTGCCGAGCAGAAAGGTGGCTACTCAAATTATTCCTTCAGGACGAGTGGCTGAGAGACGGACTCTTTGGATGGGAAGAGGTTGCAATGTGGTCCTTCGCACTTAATAACTAAACGCAGCAAAATCAAGGGACAGAAAGAGAGGAGACAAATAGCTTTATGAGGGTCGGTTAAGGAAAGGCAAAATAAACAGCTTCTAAAAATAGCTTTCTTAGTAATCAGAGTTATTCAAAGTTGTCACGTTGCAATCAGATTCTGCAGTCCGAACTGATCACGCTGCGGTCTGGCTGCAAATGAAGCCCTTACGTGCTCCAATAGAGCTGCAGCCACCGAACTTTCTGATTGTTTCCAAAGGGCATTTTTATAATTGACTCAGGAGAAGTTTAGTTGTTCTGGAATCGGCCCCTCTCCAAAATGCGAGTTCAACGTCACCCTGAATGCAACTGTGTGGTGAGAAGGAGCAGAATTTCCAGGGAAGAAGTTAATGGGGAAGGAGGCTGTGCTGGGGATAACGAGGAAGTATTCTAAGTATCAGAGGCCTTTATTAATTTCTACAAAAGCATCCCAGCATCCACCCACTACTAATCCGCCAGCTGCCATTAGGGTGGTGAGTTTCCATGGCTGGCTACTGTAGGGAAACAGAAAACACAGCCTGGCCCTTTTTTTTGATTTTAATTTTGAGAAACGAACAAAGGAAAACTAGTTCCCTGCCTCTCCCATGATCACACACATGTAGCCTTTGGGTGCAGGAGCATCTGTGTCTGCGTGACATGCTCAGATCTTTCACTAGGATCCATATTCAAAGAGCACGTGGCCCCAGGAAAAGGCAAGAAGCTTACTTAACTGCCCCCAAACAATGTGGGTCTGGTCCGGGGGCCTTAATTGAAAAGACAGTAGGTTTGCCAGGGTTAAGTAATAAAAGGATAGGTGACGCAGGGGAGTTTGCCTGGGTTTGTGGTTTAATCCATTTACCTGTAATGTTTCCTGAGCAATTAGGGAAGGAAGGCAGTCTACTTTTCACTCAACCTGACAACTGATGAAAATGATTGCCCTATTTTAATCTAAATTAAATGGGGTTGAGGTCTTAGCATGACAGCAGAGCGACAGTCGCCCTTTCAGACCCTGGCTTTTAAGTGCTTTCTTGGCTTTCAGAGATACCCAGGGAGTGATTTAGGAAAGTGTAGCCTTGTTAGAACAACGTTAGGACCTCGGGAGGAGGCGGAAGATGTTCACGGCTTTGGGGGAAAATAACATGTCAGATGAAGGATGGGAGGAACAGAGGCGTCTTTCATGATGCCGAGGAAGCATGAGTTCTATGCAACATGCCTTAATGATCACATCATGGGATGGCTGTTTGGGCATAGACCAGGTGGATCTCAGCGTACAAAGGGCAACTTGGGGGTGCGTAATCTTGACCTTTAACCCTCTACTACCGCTCTGTGAGCCCTTCAGAGCCTCATCTAGGTCCATCGTCTGAAAATGTTTCTACTTAAGCAACCGTAGACACGGTATAAACTGACCAACCACATGGCTGTTCCATGGTATACTCAAGGGGAAGACTTTCACTGTAGATGGGGGGGGGGGAACAGCCAGAGGCATCTGGCAGAGTCCAGAGACTGAGAGATTGAGCATGGCCAGCAGACTGGACCTGTCCATGAGAGAAGCAGAGTGGGGGAGGGGGTCATAGAGAGAGGGGAAGAGCTAAAGATGAAGACAGAGGAGAGCAGGCAGAGGAGAGAGCGAGCAAAGCCGAAATAGCAGGGTTATCAGGAGAACGAGAGGCGGGAGGGAGGAAGCTCATGAACTGGAGAAGTTGGGGTGGAGACCAGAAAATTCAAGATGCCAGCACAGACTGTGAAATGTGTAACAGGTAAGCATGATACCGAGTGAGCAGAGCCTGGAGGTCAGCATGGGCTTTGGTGCGTTAATAGATACCGCAGAAAGCCATTAGTGGTGAGGGGCCTTCGGTAAGGGGATGGTGGCTTTTGTCTAACTGCCAGAATTTGGAAATGGAAATTTCCTTTGGACCTGACAAGCGCAACCTGTTATTGTCAGGAGCTTGGGGAAGGGCCTTGTGCTCATAAAATCAAAACACTGTGGAGCTGGAAGGAACTTACTTTATAAGTGAGGAAGGATGGTGAAGAAAGGTAAGACAGCTTCCAAGCTAGCTGCCTTCTCAGCTTTGCCTCAGACTCCCTGCCTGCCCGGCAGGAGGAGTCTGTTAGGATAAAGGCAAGTTCTGACCTTCCTCTCCGTTCTTTATCCACACAACACTTGCTCCTCGAAACCCTCTAAGGCACTTCCAAACCACTGGAGAAAGTTCACTGACTTGGAGCCCCACACAGAAAGAAACCCGAAAAACTCCCAGTTGTGGGAAAATAAATGGCTCCTGGACCAGCCCTTTGGATGGTAAGGTTCCACCCCAGCCTGATGCAGTTCTCTTGGTGACCATTAACTGAGGACCATTAGCTAAACAGAGACTTTGTTTATTGAAGAGCCGGTCTCTCCCTCTTGCCTTGTGCCCCTAGGCATAAAGGACCCGAAGCCCAAGCACAGTTTGAGACAGACAGTGCTTACACTGCAGCAAGATGCACACTTTGCTTGCATTCCCACTAGGGAGGGGCACTTAGAAATATCTTAGCACTTGGTTGGAATAGTTTGTCTCTTGGTCAAACCATGGTTCTCTTTGTGTTTTTTTCCTCCGATTTTAGTGTGTATTCAACTTTAAAAAGAAGGAAAAAAAAGTGAACAAGCCCTTGGGGACTTAGATGTATTGTTTATGTTCCTTTAAAACACAGATCTAGGAAGGATAGAATTTCTCTAATGAGAACCAGAGAGCAAGCTGAAGAAGGACTGCAGGGTATAACGTGGGCTCCCCTTCATTCCTTCTGGGATCCCTCTCTCCCCACCCGTCTCCCTCTAAGAAGTGTGGGATTGTTTATCTTGTGCAGTACAGTGGCCTTTATGTAGCGGTGGAGTCATTGATAGGTTCCATTAACGCTTATTTTAAAATTTTACCTCTGCATCCAAAAATCTTAACATTTTGGTTTTAAATGGGCAGTGCAGCTGAGAAAAGTCAGATGACTTTCCACAAGCAACTAAATTAGAAATGTTTTTGCAGGCTGCATTTACGAATTCCACTTTATTTCCCTCTTTGCCTCAACATTAGCTCTTGGGTTCTCTTGTGTGGACCCTTGCATGTCTCCTACTGTTCTGGGGTCTTATTGGGATAGCCCATCGGAGCTTCTTGCTGTCTGTCTGGTATGTGTACCCTGTTTCTCCTGTGTCTTCTTTGCCTCCTTTGTCAACCTTGGCTTGTCTCAGCTTGACCCCTTCTTTCCCAGTCATTCTCCCAGCTGGAAACCATCTTAGTTAACTCCGCCCACCTTTTAAGTCCCCCACTCCTCAGCATAGTTACTGGCTCCTGATGATGTCACCTCTCTCTCCTTTGCGACCTATGGGTCACTCCTGTGAGATTTCCTGAATATACATTCCAACAATCCCATTTGCAACACCATACTTCTCAGTGGCCTCCCCAAGGCGGTGTCAGCAGGGGCTCAGGGCTGTGTCTCCTCTGTCTACACTGCTAACTGGATGTGGTGGGAATTCTAGTGATGCTTCCAAAAGGAAAAGGGTAACCCAAGGTCAGAACGTCTTTGCTTGTCAAAGACGGAAAGCCGCTATCCAAATAATAAGTGAAATTTTGCTTTTGCAGAGATAGTTCTCGACGCCATTCTCATCCACACATGCCGAGTTGTTTCTCCTCTGTATTTCAGTTTGGCTGCAATGATGAGTTCAGGCAGAGACTTTTAGACTGAAACTCTTTTTTGACCAGGAGGCCCAGAAAGCAGCCAGAGTACAAGACCAGTTCCTTCGTGGGAAACAAAAGGAGAAACTAGGAAGTTCAGGCTGCTGACAGAAACCGGGGAGCCAGGATGGTGAAAACCTGTGAGGAGAGAGAGGCAGGCTGTAAAACCCAAGTCTTCAGTGTTTGGCTGTTACCCTGCACCTTCTGGCCACTGGGGACCCTCTCTCTACATTCTTCTCCCTAGACTAATTTGTGTTTACATTTTTTTACAATTAGCATTTCTAATTTAGGGCCTGGAATGCGGAGGGCTTCTTCTCTGGCATTGCTTCCCTGAGGGGTTATTTGAGAGAGCTATAAATAGCAGGATGGGGGTCTCTCCTGACCACTACTATTTGATTTTCATCCTGGAGAGGCCAATTGGATCCCTAAATTCCCATATCCTCTGGGATACTTTCCCAATTTTCCATAAGCCTTTTTTTTTTTTTTTGGTGGGGGAGGGGAGACAGAATGGCTGTATAAAATACATGGTTTCTTCCCGTCGGCTCAGAGCTGAGCTTGAGTTAAAATGTGGGTCATCCATGTGTCCCCAAGGACCTTTCTGGGACCTTCTCCCTGCCAAGTTCGAAGGAACCTCCTTTTCCCCAAATTCTGGCACTTAAAGCCAGCATTCCTCAGTACCTTGGAAAGCCAGTTTCTCTCTACCAAAGGAGACATTTTCCCAAGGCTACCTGTAGTGTCTAGTAGCAAATCAAAGCATATGCTGGCCCCCAGGCTCCCTCAGTATCCCAAGCACCTGATACACATTTCAGAGTCTATGCTGGCAGCCTGGCTCCTCTCAGCTCTTCTCACCCCTGACCCCGCCCCGTTTTTTCGCCTACCCTTTCTCTTTTGCCCCTCTCTCTTTTTCATCTCTTTGTATTCTTCTCTTGCTCCACCCCCCATGGTCAAGTCCAGCCTGTTGGCCATGTTTAGTCCATTACTTTCTCTCTCTGCTCCTGACTCTTAGAGATGTTCTCTCTCTCATATCTACAGCAAAAACCTTTGGCTCATACCTTAGAGCACTGTTTTCATGCTGGGCAATAATTACCCCTTAATGGGCCCAGGGCATTGGTAAGATTGTATTCTCATCGGTCAGGCACTGAGACAGTCCCAAGGAAAGCCAGAACTGCTCATGAGGCTAGGCAGCAGAATGGCTGGGGTCACCAGAGAACCGGGGCAGAAGCTAGGGTGATGGCGTCAGGTGACAATGCCAATGACACAGCCAGAGACAATAGCATGTGGCGGTGGACTCCAGATGGGCCCGCCATCTTTTTCTTAAAGATGGCAGTTGAAAACTCAAGAACTAGAGGTTGGTTGAATGACAACATTTTTGCTTCTTGGATTTTGTGACTTCCTTTTTGATATTTGCTGGAAGATATAGTTTGGGGCCTAAGACTTCTTAGCTGTGGAATGCATTTGTGGTCTCTTCTCTTACATGTAAAAGAATGTAGTTAAACCCTCCATGGGAGAAGGGTTCCCGGGAATCATTGTTCTGAGATGCAGGGAGGTGAATCAGGTCTCTGGAATGACCTTTCCCTACTAAGCACTAACAGCCTGTCAGTCACAATGTTTCCAGAGGAAGCCAGCGAGCGATGGATGCCCCAGAGCAGGGAAAACACAGAATTTGAGAATGTTGGCACTGAACCGAACCTTGGGCCCTTGAGACCCTTGAGCATAGCCTCCTCCCTGGCCACTGAAGCTGATAAAGTGGAGATGTGTGTCCCAGTGAAGGTCAGGGCCTGTCTGTGGCGGAGCAGGGACAAGAGCCTAGTTCTGTGAGCCTCTGTCCTGTTCCTTCTACAGATACATTTGTATCAGGAAGCCACACAGGGTTTGGGAACCCCCACTTCCTCCCCAACACAGCCTTCTTCCTTCCCACAGCTTCATAAAATGCGGGGCTTTGGGAGCTGTGTGTTTCCTTCTAAGTATTTTAATGAGAAAACCAAAGGTTGAATGAATTTGTGACAGCCAGGAGAGAGAGTAGACAAATGGAAAACCGAGGTGGGTTGAGCTGTCATGTCGGTAAAGTAAGTCAGGCTCCACGTAAAATGTGCACAGCCTTAGTCTTTCCTCCCTGCAGCTTCCTTACAGAGTTTGGGGTTGTTATATCTGTTCCATTAACTGTGGATTTGTAAGGTTTCCTGATTCGTTGATGAAACAAATATGAGTATATCTGTGGACAAGAAGAAAGAAGAATTAGAGACTAGAAGTGTAATGCTTTTCTAGGTGGATTCTGGGTGCTGTCCAGCACAAGAGACATCGCCCTTGGGGTCGAGAACAGATTCAGGGAACACTCATTTATTCTGGTTTCCATTTTCCTCGTCTTATACTGCAGACTCTCCTTTCAAATCCTACCTTCTCTAGGCAAGTCTAGTTATTTCTGTATGTATATGTACAGACAGACATGTGTGTTTATACTATGTATGTGTATGTTTATATGTGTGTTTATACTATGTACACTGGAAATACGGCATCTGGATTAGCTGTGCCATATGTACACAGATGGCTCATTGTATAAAAACACTTGCTGTGAAAGTCGTGAGCACAGAGTTCCTCCCAGAATCCCCCATGGGAGGAGGGAGCCCAGCGCTCAGCTGTCTTCCAAACTATACCCTTCTGCTGCTGTAAGGAGCAGCCTTCAGCAGCCCAGGGGCTGAAGGGGATCCCCAGAGTCAGAGAACCAATCACTCAACTTGACTTTTCTATCTAAGGGAGTAAAACTTAATTCTCTGGAGCCAGCAAGGGGGCACAAAACTTAACTTTCCGGGGCCAGCAAAAAAGAGAAACACACACATGTACACACATACACACACATACACACACACACACACACCTTCAACATGTCAGGTGACTAGGGTGCTGATGAATGGCAAACCTTCTGCAGGTCAGAAAAACTAAAGAGGAGATGCAGAACAGGTGAACTACTGGACAGACAAACAGACACAAGGACTTTTCTGAGGGCCAGAAGCTTAGTTCTTCATTTTATTGTTCTCTCTGTTGCTTGTTCTACTCTATTCTTTCTGTGTTCTGTCCTTCTACCCTGATGTTTCCCTTCTGTCTATTCTTGTTTTTTCCTTGCAGCTTAAATACCCCAGCAAAATCTATCAAATCTATCAAAATTATAACATGGTTACATTCTGTTTTCTAAGTGAATGATTACAATGAATACAAGTTTTTTTAAAAAAGCATGTTTTCCTTATCCCTTACATGATTAAACATTTTACATATTACAGCTGGAAAAGAAGTTTTCCTAAGAACCCACATACAGTCATACCCTCACAACTTATTATAGATTAACAGAGAGAGTATAAGCAAGCCAACTATTTTCTCAGCCAGTTCCTTTGCTAGCTGGCTGCATTTTGTGGCTACAAAGAAAGGATCAATCACTTTATTATTTATTGCAAAAGGTGATCTTATAAGAAATCTTAAAAGAAAAACAAATCTAAAATTTTATATATGAAAATCTATCGGTCACCCCTACTTTAAATCCTCAGGGGGCATACCCGCTCATCAATAGTTTTTCTTTTTTTATATTAAGAAGATTGCAGAAATGGGTACAGGAATTAACCATCACCTTTGATCATCAACCCATCCTAGCAAGAAAGGTGCGTCAGTCAGCAACAGCCAGGCTGCCATTGTTCCTGCCCTCTGATCTCAATGAGTCCCTTGTTCAACGATTAAAAGTGTGTTTTTTTTAAACTTTAGATTGTTCTCCAAGATTTTCTACCTCAAAAATCATTAACAAAAACATCTTAACCTAACCTAAAGTCATTGTTTAAAGTTTTGTTTTGGCTATGGTGCACACCAAAACCTGTGTTTACATCTCCCAACATTAAGATTAAAAGCCCTTGAGCTATCTTAGCTTCTAGGACTCAGTTGTTTTTCTTAATTAATAACCTAAGTCACAGTTTATATAGCTCTTCAAACTCATAAGTCCTGTCTGTGTGACACTTCCTTGCTCCTCTTTTCTAGCCTCTGTGGCCCCTACTTTATCAGGGGTGGGGGCAACACCATATTCTGCCCTTATTTACATCAATTTTCCCACTAAACCAACCTTTATCACAATCTCTTACTATATTTATTAAAAACCCTCAACCATTAAAATTCTATTTAAGCTAACCCTATTATTGTATAAAACCATTGCTTCAGTTGAACAGTACAACTTAAGAGGAAATCACCTTCATAATAATAAACAGGTAAAATTGCCCAATAGAATGGGTTATTTCCATGAGATGATCACACTTCATTAAAGGCAGTGAGGATCCCCCCACACCCATTCACGCCATGCCAGATACTAGAGAAAAATGGCTGAGGTGAACAGGTAAAGACACAGAGGTAGCAAGAGACATTCTGGAGCTGAAACTCTCAGGACCTTGCCTGTCTGAGACTTAGCCATCAGTGCTTTGCTTCCTGACGGACCAACCTCCAGAAGCTCAGTTGTTACCTGCTACTCCCCTGACCCAGCCACCAGAAATACACATGATCCAAGGCATGAATGTGTTACACTGCAACCCCCTTGTGTGTCTTCTACATACATAATAATAATAAATACAAGAAAAATGGAATTAGTTTAAGACAAATAAGTGGAGCAGAGAGATAGAGGGGGAGAGAGAGAGAGAGAGGGAAAGAAGAGAGAGAGAGAGAGAGAGAGAGAAATAAGTTTGGTGAGAATACAGCATTATCTATATACTGTGTGTTTCTTTGGATTCTTTGCTTTTCAGTGTCTTTCTACACGGGGTAGCCATTTGGATTTTCTCTTTTGTGACTTGTGACTTGTCTTTAAAAGAAAAACAAACAAACAAACAAAAAAAACCCTTGCCTGTTTTTTTTCTTGAATTTTCTTACTTCTTCTAATTTAAGAGCACCTTCATATATTCTCCATGTTAACCCACTGTTGGCTAAGATATTACAATAAAGTTACCCTAGCAAAGCAAAATTTTTGTAAATTAAAATTTTGTAAATTAAAAATACATACATGAAGAAAACAGCAAACACACAGAAGAAAACATCATGTCAGCAAACATGAGAACCTGCGTGCAGAAAGCCAGTACCCACATAAAAGTGGGCACAGAGGTAACTCATCTGCACCTCCAGTGGACACAAAGACAGGCAGATCCCGGGATCTTGGTAGGAGCTCATCTACCAAAAGCAGTGAATTCCAAGTCCAGTGGGAAACCCTGTCTCAAAAGGTAAGAAGAGAGCTGATGAACGAAGACATAAAATATGAAACATCAGCCTCTGGTCTCATCACAAGTGTGCGTGGTGAGGGCACCTGCATACATATACGTACACACACACACACACACACACACACACACCATATAACTTAAAAGAAGGTTATCAAATACAGTTAGATGAGGACTAACAAGGGGAAGGGAATGAGTTGACTCTTTTTTGTTTGTTTTTATTTTGTTTTCTTTTTCTAGGCAGGGCTTCTCTATGTAACAGCCCTGGCTGTCATGGAACTTGCTCTGTAAACCAGAGAGATTCACCTGCCTCTCCCAAATGCTGGGATTAAAGTATCTCACCCTGTGCTCATTGGGAACCCCATTTCCCTCCTCATCATTTGCTTCCTTATTATTGGTAAGAATTTGTAGGCTGTCTAATCTGGGAGACAGTGAGGCTGTCTTCTCATTTGCTCCTACTGGGTGTGGAAGTATCTTTTGTTACATCAGGACACAGCTGCCTTGAATAAAGCTGACATTTCTAGAGCCATGGGACCAAGTTCTACTTCCTGGGGAATGAGATGAACAGTGTATTCTACTCTGAAGCTTAGGCTTGGAGCATAAGCTTCCCCCACTTCCCCCAGTGTGCAGGCATCTGGAAGACTGGGCAGAGCCCCAGCCACTGCCAAACATGTGGCTCCTTCTACCACTTGGCAAGAATGTGGCACCTTATTAAACAGAAATTCAAACCCCAAAGAAAATGGCCCCAAATTAGATTTAACTCAAATGAAACTGATATTTTTTTTACAAGTCAAAAATGACCACGTATCAGCAATTTCACATGAACCATCCCCCTCTGTGTATTTTTACCTTGCAGAAAATACTTAGACAATCATTTGTCTTCCTCCTGGGAATGTGGGTCCTTGATCTGAGGGCTTCGTGAGAGCATGAATCCCCTTTTGTCCAATGTTTTTTGTAGAAGCCAGCCATGATAAGCTAAAAAGGAAACAGACCACCCAAGGGAGGTTCTTTGCTTTCAACCATTGTCACCTGCCAGTGTAGGACTCAGCCATCGGTGAGTTTAATAGAGGCCCGAGTCTCAGTAGTTTACCTGGTTGCTGGAAGAGCCATGGACTGGAATTGCCCTAGCACCACCCAGGAGCAGACCATCCAAAGGAAATGCCTAGTGTTTCAACTGTTGTGAATTGGATCACCTTCCAGCACATACTCACCAGGACACCCTGGACAAGTGTCAGCCAATCAGGGGTCCTGAATCTTGGAGACCCCTCACCCCAACCTTTACTGTCTAGGAACCCAGCTCTAACTGAGCTTGGGGTTCTCTGTTTATTCCAATACGTTGTACATACGGAGAGACCGAGTTTGCAAACTTGCACAAAATAAAGGCTCCTTGCTTTTACATACGGGACTCGGTCTCCTTGTTGGTTTTTGGGGGACTTCATGGATCTGGGCATAATATTTTTAAGGTTCTTCTAAAACATTCTGTAGGTAGTATTGTGAGTTTATAAACAGTTCCCCCATCACGGTTGCTCTCCAGCTGTTGGTTCTGAAGCAGCCCTTGGGGCAGGCAGGATTTTGTTAGTCATTTGAGAGATGAGGCCAGGAAATGTTGCTAAGAGTCTTGGAAAGAGAGCCGGTTAAGGCACAGCAGTTAATAAAACATCTAACCCACGGTGGGTGAGGAGAGAGCCAGACTAGAGCAGCTGGGATCCACCCAAGGAAGCACGGAATAGCCAAGAGTGACCTTGAACTTTGACCCTTCAGCCTCCATCTCCTAAGTGTGGAGATCATAGGGGTCTGCCACCATGCCCAGTTTATGTGGCCTTGGGGACTGAACCCAGGGCTTCCTGTGTCCTAGGCAAGGACTTATACTAAGTTACATCCCCTGTCCAGAATTGTGTTTTGTTTTGTTTTAATGAGTGAACATGAAAAAACGGAAAGCCTCAAGCTTCATAATAAAGAAAAAAAGAGTAGAGAAAAGAAAAGAAAACCAACAACAACAAAAACCTGCTACATTCCTCTCCTCACTGTAGGAAACCTCAACCGTACCCTTGTACAATCATAGTTCATAGGCCTGGGTGAGAGCGGAATTTCTCCATCTAACATCTGTAAGGCCTAGCACGTGCATTTGAAAACATCAAAAATGCCACAGATAGAGTTATATTCAGCTTACATGGGGCAAAATCAAAACTCACAGCCTGGGGTGGTGGGGGTGGTGGGGGACACAACAGCAACCATGTGGATTCCAGTGGATTACCTGCAGCCCCCAAGTGGGTAAACCAAGCACTGTGTCCTCAGCAAACCAATGCCTGGGACTTGGTCCAAAGGTTCCAAAGCGGCAATTCCAGTTTGCGCACTCCTTCCCAGTGGACCTTAAGCAGGCCAATTTCTTCAGTCAGCAGAGGCTAATAAAGGCCTCTGCTCAAGGGCGAACAGAAATCAACTTTGTACAGCCTTAGGAGGTGAAAGCTCCAATTACGGTCTCTGGGGAGGGAGGTCCTGCGAAACAGCCCAGCCACTCCCGGTTTAGCCAAGAGAGCAAAGGTCAGCGGACCGCAACCCAGGGCAGTGATCTATCTAATTAACCCACCACCCCACCATTCGGCAGGCCTCGTCCTTAACTGAGATAACAATTCTTTTTCTGTATATAAAATCAAAAAGCTCCATCCAGGCTGGCTCTGAAAGTCTGTTGCTGCTGAAAACAGCTGAAGCACCCGTCCTCTGAGTGTGTCGCTGTGGACGCGCACCTGTGGGTTGTAATAGACGCCAGCGCAGCCCAATCTTCGCCTGGATTGAAATGCACTCCCGGCAGGGGGCCCCCGTTGCGTTTCGCCACAATAATAAACACTGATAAGACACCTCACTTTGCAACTTTGTGACTAATTTTCCTTTCAAGAGGTGGGGGTCTCCTCCACCTTCTGTAAGGGTCCAGGGCTTTCTGGGAAATGTCACGGTGTTTTTCTTGTTCCACAGACTCGCTTTGTTCATCTGCCTGTGTCAGGACCCATTGGATGGGCTCTCTGAGATTTGTGCCTTTCGCTTGCTTTCTTTTGTTGAATGTTAGCTGTTAGATTCCAGAATCCCCGCACTCTGTGATGGTCCCTTGCTGTAAAGACTTCTGGGCTTGCTTTCTTTGTGCGAAAACCCCCTTTCACCTGTGTGTGTAGGAAGCCTTGCCAAAGCCATTCTCTGGAGAGAAGGAATTTAAATTACGTGTAATCTGTTCCAAGGGGGGCATATTCCATGCCTTGCCAGTGGAGTGATTTATTTTCTGCCCAGGGATGAAACTGAACCCAAAGACAGTCTGGCTTTATTTGAATCATTCACCAAGGGAGACATTTGTTGATTATTCTTGCTCTGGTCCTACACCAATGAGCAAAGTGCCTTGGTGTTCATACGTTTGTGGCTCTAGACCTTCTGTGAGCTTCCAGAGGGAAGTGGCCAAGTAAAAAGAGGGTTTTAAAAAGGAAAGAAAGAGAAAAAATATCAATAATAGAGAGTATTTTGTAAAAATTAGCTGACCCCAGAGTAAGGTTTGTAATTCTTTCAAATCAAGGTGGCCGACCTGCTAGTATCTAAGTTATTAAGACTCAGGGAAAACTGGATGCCACGGCAGGCCATTAAAATCTCAGGACTCAGGGGATTAAGGCAGAAAACTCCTAAATTTTAGGCTAGCCTGGGCTACTCTATTTTTAAAAGAAAAATTTTTTTTTGCAGGCATTGTGGTACACGCCTTAGTCCCAGCAACCAGGTGGCAGAGGCAGGCAGATCTCTGTGAGTGTGAGGCCAGCCTGGTCTACAAAGCAAGTTCTAAGACAGTGAGGGTGACACAGAGAAACCCTATATTTAAAAACAAAACAAAACATCAGGGGAAGATGCTGATTTCCAATAAACTGAACTTTGTAAGGATGGTCAACAGAGCAGCAAAGTCAATTAATTTCAAATTTTATTTATTAAAATGTAATCACATCATTCCCCCTTCCCTTTTCTCCTTCCCACTCCTTCCATGCACACCTCCCTCTCAAATTCGCAGCTCTATTGCTTTAACTGTTACACACATACACACATGTGCTCACTCACTGCATTTGACAAACATAGTTCACGAAATCGCTTTGTGTCGATCATAGGGCTCCGGCATAAAACGGGAGCATTGCATGGAACAAACAGAAATAACAGCACTGAAAACTTGAGTAGTGAAATTAAAGAATCCAGGCTAAAGGCACAGCCTATTGTGTAATACACACCGAAGGGTTGAGAAATTTCTGTGCTCCCTCAAAACTCCACTGGCCCAGGCCACATTTTCTGAAGGAACCGACTCCCCGCGTTTCTCTGAAGTTCTTCCTTCTCGTTGGCCGGGTAAACCAACACAATATTTTCAACACAAGTGAAGATGCCAGGTCACCCCATCCACACAGATGTGCACAGAAATCAAGCAAAGGGGGAACTAGGAAGCAGGGGATGGGTGACTAGTTTTTTCCAGAATTCCCCTGGACTGACTCTTTCTGCTTCTCTACAACACAATTGATTTCTGCAATCCTTTTTTTTTTTTTTTGATTTTTTTTCAAGACAGGTGTGTCTGTGTGTAATTAAGACAGGTGTGTGTGTGTGTGTGTGTGTGTGTGTGTGTGTGTGTGTCGCCTTGGCTGTCCTAGAACTAGCTCTATAAACCAGGTTGGCCTTCAACCCACAGAGATCCCCCTGCCTCTGCCTCCCAAGTGTAGAGATTAAAGGTGTGCATCACCATCACCTGGCTTTGTCGTCCTTTCTTGTTGGAGACTTTTTCTTCTGCTGGCTCCGTTGAGGTCAAAGTGAAAAGCAGATCACGTGACTGAGACTGTGTACTTGAAGCGGTCTTCTCCTATTCCTAAAGGTCTCCCCTGTGTTCACTGTCGTTCTAATTCTCCATATGAAGAGAGACAAGTGGGCAATTCAATTGTATTACAAGTTGGAAAACCAAGATGTGGAGGGGTTGTGTGACTTCTTCAAGACGTGGAACAGACACTGAAGGTGTCCAGATCTCCTAGGAGCATATCTAAGTTCTAGTAGTGTAGTGTGATCTCCAACGTTGTTCTGCCAGGATGCATCCCACCTTTGGAACTCTAGGTCTGGAGTTACCTCCCGAGGACATTTTCACAGGTAGTTGGACATTGAGGCCTTGAGGATTTCCAGCCCAGAAACTTGACTTTGTCTGCTTTTATCCCTACATCAAAATGTCATGAAGTCGCTCCTATCATTTCCTATACCTGCTCATCAGGTGGCTTGCTGTGTTTCAATGCTAGTCCCTGCAGGTGGCACACGTACAGGGAAATGTGCTCCTAAGTCCCCTGTGGAGGGCAGAACTAAAGAAGGTATACTGATGGCTTGCTGATTGCAGGTGCTATGTTGCTGTTGGTTTAACTCTGTCTTGGTATTTCTGAAGCCATAGCCCTGGTCATGAGCCTACCCCCATGTTCCTGAAGTCCATTTATTCCACCCCGGCATGATGCTGTGTCTTTAGTAAACTTCTCATTTTATAAAGAATGGCATAAATGCCCTCCATTATAGCTTTCTGGGAGTGACAATGTGGCTAGATCGTGTGGCATTGTCCCTCTGCATGCCAGGAGTCCAGCCTGATGTTCTGGCCTGGTGAGGTTCCATCCCGAGTCTTGACTGAAGCAGATAGTTCTGGATGCATGGGAAAGAGATGCAGAAAGGGGCCCCTTTACAAACCCGTCAGGGAACAACTCGTACATAAGCCTGAAAGTCTGGGATACAAAATTACTCGCTGACAGTCAGTGTTGTGCCTGGCCCCATGCCAGATTCTAGATCCGTGAAGATTGACAAAACATTCTCCGCCCTCAAGGATTCCATAGTGAGAAAGCCCCGTGCAGACTAGCCAGATCTTAAAAGTGGATTTTTTTTTTTTAACTAAAGTAGAATGTTCAGCCAAGTCCTTTGTGACCTCGAAAAACCCGAGGCGAAGAGTTGGGTGTTTAGGACACTATAATGATACTTCCTAGCCTTTCTTCCTCGATCCTACATAGAAGAGTCTTGGGAGTGTGTGGGGACTTCTTAGCAATATACGGTATGGCTAGATGAACTTGGGAACCAGTTAGGACAGCAACAAGTTACAGAGAGTTTATGAATCTGGTCTGTGCAAATACTTCTAGATAATCAAGGACGATGAGAAGGAAGCAATTTAAAATATGAAACAGGTAAATATGTGCCCAGTGAGAGGACCTCTGGCTGCCCCAGACGATCCCCAAGCCCCGCTACCAGTTCTTGCCACATAGCGTACACTTGGCAGTTGTAACTGGATGAGAGAAAGCCAGTGAGATTTGAATAATGAACTGTGAAGGGATAAGGCATGAGAAGAAAGGAGCCAGCCATGCGGTGTCTTGGTTTCCCTACTCTCCTGGGACTTCACTCTCTCAGGAACAACCCAAGACTTTCCCAACCGCTTGACAAATGTCACATACCAACTAGAGACTTTAAGGGACACAGTGTGAGCTTGCCAAACCTTCAGAACCACTAAAAGATAGTTTTCTATTGACTCCTCTTTTAAGGAAAATACCGCTAATATCTTTCTTTTCTCTTTTCTTCCACCTTTAAAAACAGTTAAGTTTTAGTTTCTAAGTCAATTTGCTTTCTCTTGTTGTATATACAATTACAGAAGCAACCCAGAGTCATGAGGCATTTAATTAGCTCAAAGACTAGATCTAAAGAGATATTTTCATGAAAGAGAATAGCAACAGGGTCCTGCTACTAACAGATGCTTGTAGGGAGGCTGAGCTTGCTTACCGGAAGCAGGCCCAAGGGAACTCAGTTTAGGCACAATTGCTGGAGTACCATTGGCACACCTGTGATCATTTCTGCTTATCAGTCTCCAGCTTCCTACAGCTTACAAATATATAGTATAATTAGTTGAATTGAGAAAAACAGCTACAGCTAGGCCATGGTGATGCACACCTTTAATTCCAGCACTGAGGAGACAGATACAGGCGGATCTCTGTGAGTTTGAGGCCAGCCTGGTCTACAGAGCAAGTTTGAGGACAGCCAGGGCTGTTACATAGAGAAACCTTGACTCAAAAAAGAAAAAGAAAGAAGGAAGGGTGGAGGGAGGGAGGGAAGGAGGGAGAGAGGGAGAAAAAAAAAGAAAACAGCTGCAAAACAACAAAACTTCCCATAGATTTAGAATTGAGTGTGGGAGCTAGGGGGATAACTCAGTGATTGAGAGTGTTTGTTGTCCATCCAGGGGATAGGAGTTTGGTTCCCAGAACTGTAGGATGGCTCACAACTGTAACTTAAGGTCTACAGGATCTGATACCCTCTACTGGCCTCTGCAGGTACCTGCCACACGTGTAAGCACACGCACACGCACACACACTAGCAGTTAAGAGCACTGGCTGCTCTTCCAGAGGTCCTATGTTCAATTCCCAGCACCCACGCGGCAGCTGACAAAAGTCTATAACTCCAGTTCCAAGGAATCTGATACCTTCACACCAATGCACATAAAAGAAAGTTATTTTGAAAACTACTTAGTCGTTGTCTCTTTAATTAAACTATAAGTCTCTTTGCAGTAGAGTATTTCAGATATTTGTGCCCGATGTTTTGTTTACAGTAGGAACATAGCTAATATTTACCTGGTGTGTGCATGTGGCTAAATCAGACTTGCGTCATGAATTGATTCATGCCCCAAGAGCTGTTCCACACTGTGTGTAAAGAAATAATCACCGGAAATTGGAAAACGTTTACAACAACCTGCCCAGTCCTCTGAAGGATCTCTTAAAACAAGTGGAGCTGATATGTTGGATGATGTTAAGATCTCTTTAGGAAAATTTGACGCAGGCATTTCAGGACCCTCACAAAGCAGACGCTTGTGTACCTTGAGCACAGCTAATTAGCAAGGGCTCACCAAGAACTTGCCATTTGCCCCTCTATTCCAGCGAAGTTTAAGTTTCTAACTGTGATTTTAAAATAATAGTAGTAGTAATGCCACAAAGCAGCCCAAGTGCCTGTCCTTCCAGGACAGAGAGAAGGGAGTCATCTTTCCCTGTGGATACATTTCTTCTGAGTTCCCCTTCTTCTACGGCCCCTTGTAAATCCGAAGGTTTGCAAGAACTTCACATACTCCTGCCTGTAAGGAAGACCACTTCAGAAGGAACTGCTTAGAAAGTCGTGTAGCTCTATTCCCTGTTGCTCACCCTATTCAGGGCTTGCTTGATGGTTTATGAAACACTGGTTCCTGTGATCTCCCCTCCATGTATCCCTGGGTGGGAAAGTACAAAATAAATGCAGAGAATTATAGGTGCTGGCTGCATTATTCCGAGGTATGTGCTGTTACCAGAGGCAACGACACAACGGGCCCCTCAGCAGCTCCATTATGCCTGCCACACCAAGTCAGAACTCGAAGGTTTGTAAAGGTACAGTTTTCAAAAAATTAAAAATTGGGTTCATATAAAGGGAGCCTCTGTCAAAGTCAGATTAGCTATATCAATATAAAAATGAACACAAACATGAAGTCAGCCTCAGAGATCATGAGAATTCATACACATACACATGCCTGTGCACACATACATGCACACACACACACACACACACACACACACACACTGTGAATGAATGAAGCATGTGCACACTCATGTAGAAAGAAAGGATCTAAATGAGGTTGCATGTTTAGACACCAAGCTGATTGAAGTCTGGCAGGTTACTAAATCCAGAACAACTGAGGTTATTCCTCATTTCTTTTGTTTTTTATTTTTCAACAGAAATAATTTGCAATTAATCCTTTGCAACATGGCCACATGTTAAAACAGGGTATAGTAATCTTTTTACTTAATTTCTGTGATTTGGCTCATATTTCTTTTTGAAGTTATAGGAGAATATATAATGGATTGCTCTGGGAGGAATTATTCTGCTAGACTGGTTTTTTCTCTACACAGCTCCATCTTGCCAGGGACAAGCGTAAGCAGAGGCAGTAGCCTTTATGTGTAGGCAGTTCAACCCCTCATGTTAAGATCCTTGCAGTCAGGGCCTTGTTTTAAACTTCACAATGATTCCTGCCATGGTCAGCAAGACTGGTAGAAGAGCAGGCACGGTGGAGATCAGATTGGTTTACGTTGGCTGCCCATCCTTTGGACTCCTACCAGAGGCTCTTTGTAGTCCGGGACTGGAAGCTAAAATGAAGGCAAAGTTCAGGTAGGAAAAGTTAGGCCGTGGTGCAAGGAATGTGCTGAAAGCGGTGCAACAAAGAGGAGGAGCCTGGAGGGAAAATGATCTGGACCCTTCCGCTCAGGCGGATGCCAGTCTGCAGTCTGTGTTTTCCTCAGGCGATGGGAATATGTGTTTGGGGAGCAAATAGTCTTCCCAGGGCATGAGGGAAAAGTTACTGAGAAGAATCTTAAGAACGGGCTAGTTATTCTTCTCAATAAACCAGACCATAAGTTATTAATGTTCACCAGCGGCTACAGGACTTCCATGGCCTTTGCCTACAAGTACCGCAGCAGCGCTCTAGGTTGGGGGTGGCGAGCAAGGTGTGGGGGCGCTTTTAGTGTTTTCATGCTCTGCTCTGCTAGTCTGGTCCAACTCTTTGGCAAAGGGAAGGACACCAACTGGGACCTTGCAGTCCCTCGACTCAGCACAAAGCTTCTTTAGATTAGTGCCCACACTAATTTTTATGACATGTCATTCCAGTAAGGGCCCTCCTGCCTTTCACAGATGGGCTTCCCCCAGATAGCGACTGTTGCTTGGCCCGAGTTGGGATCTGGCTGGATTAGGGAAATCTAAGCTGACAGCTGGTCTTTTTGCATGAGAGCATAAAGCCCCTGTTGTTGGAGGAAGCTATGGGGGCTGGTCAGGACCCCACGGCCAAGTAGGAGGGCTGGCTCTTCGCAGTGGCCAACATTTCCCGGGCTAAGATGACTTTCTTAAAACACAAAGATCGCGCAAGTACAGTTTCACTGTACATGGCCAAGTGAACTCGGGCCCTGCCAAAGAGGCCAGAGCAGACGGGAAACCGCCCAGGGGAGCGTGGTGTGGGAACACAGCGACAGCTTACAGGAGCCCACCCTGAGGAGGTGGAGATCCCAGATGGTCTCCAACAAGGAGCTTGGCTTCCCTGGAGCAGCCAGCCACATTTGAGTCTCCTTGGGAAGATCGCTCCACGTTATCAGCACAAATTGAGGACAAGGATTTGGAAGGCTTATTTTCTAGGGAAACGACCTGGGTTTATTTGGAAATGAAACATCTAATAAAAATGTGTGCGTGTGTGCATGTGTGTGTGTGTGTGTGTGTGTGTGTGTGTGTGACTATACGTGCCTGTGTGTCTGTGTATATGTCTAAGCACACACTCACTGTCTGGTCAATATGCTAAAAGCCTAATGTGACCAAATTGATCCAATTCCTCAATACTCTTGGCAAACGGCACCCGTCCTTCTCTGTGTTTATGGAGAGGGTACCGAGGCTTAGGGAGATCAATTACTCCGCCAGCTACTCTGGAAGCCTGGCCAGCACGAATATCAGTGTTTTCCAAATTCTAGGACATAATCCACTAATTACTGTAAACCCACTTACTGGCCACTCATAGGCTTTCACTGGAGCAGAGAAACCAGAGGTGCATATGCTCTACACACGGCACGGGTAGGAACTGCCTCGCTGTGCTTCTGATTCAGCGCTGCCAATGCTGTACACCCTGGTTTGCAGTGTGAAACGCAGCAGCCTGACAGAGAACACGATTGATTCTTATCTGGGTCTAAACTTTGTCAAAAGGAAATGGTGTAGTGTGTGTGTTCTCTGGTGTCTGACTCTTTTCAGTAAGCATTATTTTTTAAAGAACCGACGTGGCCGTTTCGGTTTGTCCAATCTTATGCTGCACTAGGTATGTATGCAGTACATGTACCATGTGTCATATGACTTCATTCTTTTTAAACAAGTCTCCCATGGATGACATTGGTGCTGTTTCTGTTCTTTAAAACTACTGTACACTCCATGAGCATTCTAGTATTGGCCTTCTGGCAAACATTCATACATACTCATTCATACATATGGCAAACATTCATACAGGCACAGAATTGCTGGGTTATTGGGTCGGTGGGAGTTCATCATTAATAGAAATTGTCAGTGTCTTCAAAATAGTTGAATACTTCAAATAGACCAGTAGTTTCTAACAAGCCTCAAATGGGAGTGCCTGGTGGGCTGTCTCCTCTCTCATGGAGGGTCCTGCTCTCAGTGTCGAAAGGACACTCTTAACATACCTGCCTTTCTTTGTTCCCATTGACAACCGGTCACTCTCATCTGCCTTTCACCTGACATCCATCTAGTCATTAAAGCACTGAAAACCTAAAGCTATCTCCATCCAGAGAGATCTTCAGTAGTAGCACAATCAACTCATATCCCTTCAGAAACGGCTGACTTTCTCTTGAAGGAAAAGGGAACAGGATGGAAGAGAGGCCAGCAGAGCCTGCAGCCAATCCAGAAAGGACTATTCTCAGGGGAGAAAACCAAACAAGCAGAGAAAATATACATAGTTCACAGTGCCAGTAAGGCTCAGGAATCCAGGAGAGCTCTCTGCAGATGGCCACGAGGCCTCTCAGGCTATGTACAGTCTCTTATTGGCACAGAACAATCCCACAATGAGCCCTGAAGATGGGACTTTTGCTTCTTTCTTGACACAGACACCAGGAACAGAACTGTGTAGCATGCTGTGAGCAGCCACACACTCAAAGGACTTCTAGTCAGATCAGTCTGTCGATATCTCTCAACCCAAAGGGAGGCCACAGAGAAGGAGGACACACGGGGCAAGTGGGTTTGTAGTGTGTGGCCTGGAAAAGATGATCCAGTCTGTAATCCACTCTGGCTTCCGCCATCCAGAGAGCCCAGCCAGTCCACTCTACCCATCCCTCTTTTAGCATACACAAAGGCTATGAACCGAGGATCCAGATCTTCCATTTATTCTAGGAACTGCATCCTCCTCTACTACAATTCTGAACTTAAAATGCTACGTAATTGCTTGGCAAGGGCCCTCTTTATTTATGACAAAACCTAGACATTATTCAAGATGTGTTAATGCAAATGTGGCATAAAGCATTTTCAAAAAGCTATCCAAGTTGGAAGATGTTGGAAACATAAACTATATATAGAAGGCTTCAGATTTGGTTTAACAATATTTAAATGTAAAATATTTCACCAATAATTTTATATTGTTCTATATTACAGTGATAAAGAAAATATATCATTAAAGTCCAGTTCTATCATTTTAGTTTCATTTTTTAATATCGTTATCAGACAATTTCAAATGGTATATGCATGTCTAATAACACAGGGCTAATGCCATCTAAAATCACACCCTCCCCAAACCCATGTTCGAGTCTTCAAAGTCGTTACTTACTGGTGGGAAATAATTTTCTTGGGACTAGTTTCCTCTGCCGTGAGCTAAACTAAGGCTATCCATGTCCTTTCTTGACACTGTTAGAAACAGATATGTTCATATATGTAAAGCATCATCGGGAACTATGATTGTTAGGAACTAAAAGTTCCCTTGACATTAGATATTACCATTACAGCGCTTATGGTCCTCTGTAAGGGGAAAGATTCTGTGGAGTATTTCCAAACCTGGTCTCCAGGAAAGCTGGGCATAGTGGGAATTCAATCCTTTACACCTCTGAGATGGTTACCAGATTAATGACAAGTCAGGAGTGCCTATCTTTGGATACAGGCACCCTACTGAGCCCAGATTCATGCTGTCCTTTTATGGTGGGCTAGACATGTATGTCTTTTGATAAAACTAGATCATGTCTTCTTCTTCCCAACATACAGAATGCTGGAAAGAATTTGTGCTATGGAGCCAATTAGGCCACAGATCAACGTCCACTATTCTTAGTTAAAATTGTTAGTACATTGTCCAAAATTTATCACAACATTGAAGTCTTTTTTCAAAAGTCATGTTTAATATAGAATGATATATAAACATTAAGATGAAAATTGAAATCCATCTTGAACCTAAGAATATTTCATCTAAATCGTACATATAATAGTCTGTTGTGGTTTTTGTCCTTGAGCTGTTGTTTAGACCCTAGCTTTAGGTTACAATGGTGCTTGTTGTTTTCAACTCATTGAAAAACAAGTTCTGATCTTTTCCTTTTAAAGTATTCTGTTTCTAAGTGCTTGACTTGGAGCCGGGGGCGGGGAGAGAGAGAGAGAGAGAGAGAGAGAGAGAGAGAGAGAGAGAGAGAGCCAGCCATATCCTAGTGCTATGAATTGGAGGCAACCAATTTCCCCTGCTAATGACACATTATTTACTGTCTAGATGTAAAAAGGAGTAAGGATAGTATTGAAGAGCAAACAAATTCCATGGGTCGGAGCCACAGAATTAAGGAAAAAAAAAGGCTATAAACTCATGCTTTCAGCTAGTAATAGTAAGGTTTTGGTTGAAGGTTAAGAACACTGAGTTAAATCACCCAAGCGGGGAAAGAGAAATGCATTTCCATTATTCGCTTTGAACATCAGAAGTTTGATTTCTATGTTCTGTTGTTCTGGTTAAAAAACCTCTGAATTATAAGGGGAATGCCTGCGTGAGGAAGGGAGTCTCCTTCTGAGAGGTTCATAAAGCCTGTGTGTAGCCCCTCACTCCGACTCTGGATTTAGCAAATCGTTCTGTGATCTTGGTAAAGCATCTCTGGGACCTTATTAGCCATGGGCTAATTAACACGACCAGGGAATGTGGCACCTTCCCAGGGTTCCTGAGGCCTTTAACCCACAGCAAGACCCACACTCTATTTCTTTATGTCTCCAAGGCCATTAAGTGCTTATTAGAGGTTCAATTATTTGAGATCTGGGCTAAAAGGTAAAACCATACAAGGAATATTGACGGGGAGACTGTCCTTAAACCTTCAAAAATTTCAATATGGACATCGCATACCAAGTCTGAAAATGTCAATCATGTAGAATTTTGATAAGGACAGGTAAATGAGGAGAGGGAGCAAAGACCTGTGGCACAGCTGAATTGGAGGTAAAGGGATAACACAGTGACACCTCCGTGTGCCATTCCGTTTGTACTCAGCTCCGCAATTGTGCTTACCATTCTTTGGTGTCACGTAAACGTAACTTGGTCCTCTCAGAATCAGAGGTCTCATCCCTACAGCAACAATAACAAAAGAGAAGCGTGTCATCATGAGTTAGTTCATACCTGCGTGTCCTGGTCATCCCTTGCTAAAGTTTCAAGTGACATATAACATTAAACCACAAATGGAAGCCACACAATCACTCTCCTTGTCAGGATCTGGCCTGAAAATCAGAATATCATGATCAACACGGCATTAATGAAACCATTTGTAGTGACTTGATTAGTAAAATAGGGGCCAGCACTGTTGCTGGATTTTGCAGTAAATGGAAGGAACCACCCACAGCTATTGGTGTACGTGACTTTACAATGTTGTCCCAGGCCTCAGTTCTGCATTTATTTTTCCCTGTCCATCAAACCTGTCAAAGTTTGGATGACACAGAGCTAGAAGGAATAATATGATAACCAAAAGGATATTTTATTTGAGTCTTGTCTCATTCGGAGTTGGGGACAGTGGAATGATTTTATAAAATTAAATCTAGCCGGGTATAGCGGTGCACACCTTTAATCCAGAGGCAGAGGCAGAGGCAGTCAGAACTCTGTGAGTTTGAGGAAAGCCTGGTCTACACCGCGTGCTCCACATCGGCTGAGGCTACATATTGAGATCCTGTCTAAAACCAAAGGAAGCAAAAAAGTCCCACCAATATTTTAAAAATATAAACATACACCAAGACATTTGGAAAGGCTGCTTAGCCAATGCCACTGAGGGTTGACTACTCTGCATAGTTGATAGGAAAAAGGCAAACGGATGCTTTTGTTTTGATTGAGGATGACCTTTTTACATATATTTTTACATATATATATATATATATATATATATATATATATATATATATTACATGTATCTATTTACGTATTGTGCACACACGTGTGTATGCAGGGGACAATTTTGTGGATTTAGTCCTCTCTTTCCGTCTCATCAGTTCTGGGATTTAAACTAAGGTCACCAGCCTTGGGGACAGGTACCCCGAACTACTGCGCCATCTTGTCGGCCTACTCCCTATGGCACTGTATAACTGCAATGACAAAGGCTGGGACTCTACTGCCGTGGTGAAGTTCCCGCTTACTCTGAATTTACTAAACAGCATTTCCTTTTGGGGTAAAGACAAAACACAATGAAAAGAAAGCGACCAGAATGACACACAAGGGAGCAAGGAATAGCAATAGCAGAGACAAGAGGATCCGTTGGCACGAAGAGCCGTCTGCACAGAACCTTCCATGGGTAACAAGCTGCAGAGATAACAGGAGATGCAGCTGGCGGCATCGCGCACTTAGTAGCAGCCAACGCAGAGCAGTGGCCAGCATTATGGGTGGCCTTGTCTGCCCAGTCTGGACTACAAGCGTCAGAGTGACTGTGGCCTCTCTTAGCATCCCTTAGCTCTTCCAGCTGGGTGGTTTTAAGGCTTCTGAAGCCCCTGTTGTATAAAACATCTCGTGTTAACTTATTTGTTCATATACTTAATCCTTTTGGAACTTTGGCTCAAACTCAAAGTGCCGCATCAGCTGGGCCAATGCTCCACCATGAAGCTGCACACCAAGGCCTTCCTGTACTGTTTGAGGGATGTTTCTCTTGACTAGATGTATTTTTGAAATGATCCAGCAATGAAAAATTAACTCTACTTGCAAGTGAAGCAAAAGCAGTAGGAATTTTTATAATCCTTGAAATGAGACAAAAATTTAGCTGCAAGTTGCTTCTCGATGTAATGGGGTTTCTTGCCTTGTAAGGAAGTTGTCATTTAGCTGTGTACGACTCTTATTTATAGATTGTTATTTATGAGTGCATACAGTTGTTACAGATCTATGTACCCATGGTTAGGTGTTGTATTTCCCTAACTCTCTTCCATCCTGGGTATGGTACCCACCTCTGGGCAGGTGAAATTGGCCTCTGTGTGCCTCGGTGTCTGCGTCGCAAGTGCAAGTGCTAAACATTCGCTGGATCGTTTAAAATGCATCAATTCGGCAAACTAAAAAACAAAACAAACAAACAAACAAACAAAAAACCCCAGAACTGTATAGTTCCTTTCTTTGCTGAGGGCTGGGGCGGGGGGGTGGGGGGAGAGTGGGCATTAAAGGGCAGGTGGGGAAGGGAGTCATGGGAGGAGCTGCAGCTGTCCTCAGATTTCTGTGGCTCCCATTTGCCAAGAAAAGATATGTCCTAATTTGGCTTTTAATTGCAGGTGTGATTGTCCCCAGAGCTGTGCCAGGGACATTACCATGTTAATAGCAGGAAGTGTACTGGGATCAGAGAAGCAAGCTCCTAGTTCCTCCAGCAGCTGAGTCCCTGGTCTCTCTCAAAGGCAGGATTCTAAATATCCTGAAAGGGAAGAACTAGCTGCTGATCTCGGGAAGGGAGTCCTTTTGCGGGTCTTGGGGTGGGGGTGGGGGTGGGGAGTAAGGCAACAGATTAAGCAGTGGATCAAAATATAAGAGAAAGGCTTGCTCACCAAGTTAAAGAGCAGAAAAGAACCAAAGTAAAATAAAAATAGCTCCAACCCAGAGATCAAGAGGACTATTTTGTGTAAGGGAAGAATGGAAGTGGTCCGCTTACACTTTGCCAAACCACCAGCTTGAAGTACAGCATTGTGCCAACGGCGGAGGGGCTGAAAGGGTCCATTATTAAGAAGTTAGTGCTTGACAGCGGCCGACTCCACCACAGCAAAATCGCTCCCTTCCAGGAGACAGCATCCTAGGAGTCTTGGGTTAATTGCTCAAATCTTCAAATTATCCTTCAGGGAACAAAACGGAGCATGCCGAATCAAAAGCAGATCTGGGGCTGAGATTCTGAGAAGGAGTGTCCCTTCTCGTTTTCAAAAATGACCATTTCGATTGCAGAAACCACAAGAGGGGAAAGGGATAGAGAAAAACACACCCATGTACCAGGCGGGCACTAAATGGCTGGCAGAGGTTCAGCCCCGCGGGAAAACAAGATCTGCCCATGTCAGTACTCGGAGAAGGGTTGGCTAAACTTCTAAAACAAGTTGTTTCGAATCGAATTGCCCGAGAATGGGGGTGCAGAAATGAAGGCACCCGGGTTTTGTTGCAGAAGAATAGTTTCTCTAGACACTGGTTTCTGAAAGAACTAATGTGCCCAAGTCACTTTTCACCTACTGAAATCAAAAATACGACTTCAACGTTATTTTCTCTATGCAAATACTTATTTTCTAACTTGACTTCCTATTGTAAGAAATACACTCATTTTGTTGCTGTTTCCTTGTGTGTGTGTATGTGTGTGAATGTCTCTGTGTGCGCAAATATGTATTCATGTGTATTCATACATGTGTGTAAGAAAGTACATGGAAGCCGGAGGTCAACTCAGGTGTCATTCCTCTATTGTTCTCCTCCCCACCTCTCTCTCTCTCTCTCTCTCTCTCTCTCTCTCTCTCTCTCTGTGTGTGTGTGTGTTTGTATCTCTCTCTCTCTCTCTCTCTCTCTCTCTCTCTCTCTTTCCTCTTTTGAGACAGGGCTTTCCTCAGGACCCAGGTCTTATCAATTAGCCTGGACAGGCTGGCTAGGAGCCTCAGGAACCCTCCTATCTCTGCCATCCCAGCATGTCAATTATAGGCCCTGTCTACCCCATCTGGCATCTTCACATGGATTCCGGGAATGAAATTCAGGTTCCTGTTCTTGCATGGAAAGTGTTTTACTGAGAGAGTCGCCTCTCTGGCCCCATACACTCAGCGTCACCGAAATCCTCAACTTTTCCCACTTTTTCCTCATAAGCCCTGGCTGTAAGAGGTTCCCAGAACTTTCTACAAGAATTATTTCTCAAGCAAAGATCCTAGGCATATTCTTGCAATGTGAGAGAGCTCTATAAATTACAAGGAACTTAAAAAAAATTTAAACCCAGTGTTTTGGTTATGACGATGATGACTTGAAATTTTATTTTTACCCATTAGAAAGATGACAGTACCGTTTGCAGTAGAGGTTTATCACTGTGCAGTCGTCTTTACGGAGGAAGGCTTTAGTTTCTCAAATAAGGGTATGTCAATTTACTTTCAGGGACAGGAGAAAAGAGTCTTTCGTTCAAGGACTCTTAGGGTTTACAAAGTCTTTGAAAATTAGCTACAAGGAAAGTGGAATGTTTCCCAATCAACAGATGCTCAGATTAATTAAACCTGCTAATTCAGAAGCAAATCAATCAGGTCCACTGACAAGGACTTCAAAAGGATTCTAAAGATTAGTGCGGTAAGTGCTTGGTAAGTCTTAGATTTGATGTACTGCAAGCTAACTTAAAGTGTAGATACCTAAATATCAGTGTTAATATCTTTAGGTTTGTGTGTTTTAGCACTGGGGATTCAACCTAAGGTCGCACACGTGCTACGCAAGTATACTATCACCTACTTTTCATTTGGAGACAAGGTTTCATTAAGTTGCCCAAGAAAGTCCTGAACTCTTCCTGTGGTTCAGCCTGTTCTTGAACTTCCAACACTATCTCAGCCTCCCTAGCAGACGGGATTATAAACCTGTGCCATTAGGCTGAGGTGTTTAGTTTCATTACTGTTGCTTAGCCTGCATTATCTCCCATTGAAGACACTTGGTTCTCTACTTTTCTACTGAGGGATGCTGTAGACATGGATACGGTGGTTGGCGAGGGTCTGAGAGCAAAATTAATCTCTGATTAACGTCATCATGTATGCTTACATTGTTACAGAGCTGGAACCACCCACTCCCAAAGTTTCTAACATTTCCCAGCTGAAAGCTCCATACCCACTAACCCCACCACCCAATCTCCTCCAGTTCCTTGGCAACTACTTTTCTATGTCTTGTCTCTGAATATAGCCGTCTGTCCATTATCCTTGGATGATACTCTGAGTCGTCCAATCAGGTAAAGGAGGAGAACCATATGCCCTCTACTTTGATCTTCTATGCGTTACCAAAATCATGGTTTCTGGGTGTAGTTTTTTGGCACATCCAAACCATCTCCAACCACTGCTCCTGAAAATCCTTTGTTGTGCCAACCTGGTGCAAAAGATGGAGCCCACGTGGATAACTGCATCCACACAAAGCCTGAGAAAGCTTGGGAAAGACTAGAGTAAAGCATTTCAGCCGTAGCAGGAAAAAAGCTGCGCTGTTTTAAAATGCCGGCTTTCTAGGCTGTCCTGCCAGGGAAAAACTCTGACTCTTTCAAGCAGGCGTCCCGACTAGGGAGCTTTGGACACAATGTTGCAGCTTGCTTCCTGGCAAGGACCTTGAAATGCCATAGGAGCTTTTGAGTGTTGTCTTCTCCATATTCCTTAGCAAATTAAAGACCCACATGGTCAGAAAGAGAGAGAGATACAGCAAAGAGAGATTCAAAGAAAAAAAAAACAACCTCTAAATGGTTTAAAGTATTTAGAAATAAAAGAAAAAAAGAAAAAAAGTAGTTGGGTGTGGTGGTACACACCTTTAATCCCAAGGCTTGGGAGGCAGAGGCAGGCAGACCTCTGTAAATTCAAGGTGTGGTGGCAGACACCTTTAATTCCAGCACTGGGGAGGCAGAGACAGACAGATCTCTGGGAGTTCAAGGATAGTCTGGTCTACAGAGGGAGTTCCAGGACAAAGATATGCAGAGAACCTGTCTCAAAAAGCCAAAAGTTAAAAGTAAAAATAAAAGAAATAGAGGTTAAAAATAAAGCCACGTAAAGATGGAAAATACACAGGGAATCTTGATACTGTATGCTGTTATGCTCTCTTTAAATCGTTTAAATGCTGAGGAAAGAGCAATAGCTGCTAAAAGATATTTGCTTATAAATGCTGCAGAATCAATCCAAGAAAGGTATTTTGAAAATACCTTGGCTTCAAAATTGAAGGCTAAAGGTATGTTACTTTGGAGAAGAGATTTTGCTTTTGTTTCCACAGAAAATGAGAGGCTCTGGATTTATTCAGAGTTAAGAAAAATCGTCTTTGACCAAGGGAGACCACCTGAGCAATCTCCAGTAGGAACAGATGGCCCAGATGTCTGAGTTCTTCATCCAGTACAGGTTCAAGACTGCTGCCTGAGATGATCAAGACTCACAGGATACTTCAGTCAGGACTTGATCATAACTCTAAATATTCTTTAGGCCCCCATAAGATTATCAGCGCCCTCAACCAGCTGAAAGTAGCTTGGAATACTACGCCCACATTCCCAAAATATGGACTATGGATATTTTCCTTTTTTTTTTTTTTTAAAGAGGGGGAAGTGGTGCGGGAGAATTCTCTGTATTCTGTCAATCATGTTTTAAATAAACACTGATTGGCCAGGCAGAAGGTGTAGGTGGGAAACCCAGACAGGAAGGAATTCTAGGGAGAAGGAAGCTGATTGCCCCACTCCTGCCCAGATCACCGAAGCAGCAGGATGTGAGCTGCCCCACTGAAAAAGGTACTGAGTCACATGGCTAACATAGATCAGAAAAATGGGTTAATCAAGATGTGAGCGTTAGCTAATAAGTAGCCTGACCTAATGGGCCAATCAGCATTATAAGTTATAGGTATTTCTGTGTGGTTTTTCTCTGGGACTAAACAGCTGGGGGGCCGGGCAGAACCAAGAAGCCCAAACAAACAGGCCCCCTCATGTTACACCAACCAGGAGGAACAATTTATTTGCAAGGCTGCAATGGCTCAAGGTGACTCACAGGGGAAGTGCAGTGTACGCTGCACAACAACAGCCAAAAAAAATGCAGCTGTGTTTCCTAGGACCGTGGAGCAGTTATTTCCGTCCTCTGTGCTCTGCTTACCAACGATTCACCTTCGCTGTTTCTCCCAGCAGACCTCATGGAAATGGGACAGCAAGGGTGACACAAAATATTGCTGGGTTGAGAGATTGGTCCTTATGGTGACATCCGGGCCCAAGCTGCTGCTGCTGGCCATGTATGGGCCCGTGGCTCTGCTGCAGCTGGGGTCAGTGTTGATGCTCACTGTCCCTATTACTACAGGAGCCTATGCAAACCATGTGTTGAAGTACAAGGGCCTTGATGGGTTGGCCCTGCCTCCCCCCCCCCAGCTGACTCACGTGGGAGGGAGTATCGGAGAGCTGACTCCACCCCACACCTGAAGGAGTGGTCCCAGCAGTCCAGACAGACCAACCAAGCATAGATCTAGGCTTTAAGTCGGCCCACCCCAGCGTCTGCCCCATCTATGACCTGCTGGAGCAGGTGAAGCTGCAGGATCTCCATGATTTGGGGCAACAGCAGGATATTCAGTAGGAGTTTCGGCGAGGGTCCAGTGATGATGGTGTGCCAGAGGCCAGCAGCCTTGAACCTGATTGACAACACACTGCACAATGCACATTTGCAAGTGAAGCTGCATACCCAACGGGGTACACTGCACACACAATACACAGCAGCTCCC